GCATGAAATCTTAACATCTGAACCGTCATGAAGTCGATTGCATTCCTGCATAAGACAGATCATCTTCTCATTGATCTTCTTGTTTGAACCCTGCTGCGCGATTGGTAGTAACCTCTCGTGTCGGGTATTTTTATTATCGTCCAGTGCGGCATTCGTTGATGTGCAAATTTGTTTTGTGTTTGCTTTTACAATGTGATAGAATCTTGACAATCACACAGAGAAATATCTTCGTATGTCGTCGCGATGCCGGTAGATGGAATTCCTCCCGCCCCCAGTTATTTTGGAGATGATAGAGGTAAGTTGAACCGGCCCCTTTTACTCATTGATAGCAGGGCTGACCGAAATTCTATAGGAGGAAGGAGGGTGAGATAAGCAGAGTAGGGTGGATGGGGGGAGGCAGAAGGAGGCAGAAGGAGGAAGGAGGAGGAGACTTTAAATTTCTTGTGCTGACCTTCTCGTGGGAGAGAGGAAACGGAGTGTCGTACCCGCAAACTCGCTCAATCGGAGCCTCTAAACTCAAAAAACACTGAAAAGATGTCAGTTTGAGGAAAACTAGCTTTTCCCTCCCCTCTTCTATCTCCTCCCACTCTCGCTCTCCCCTCCCTCCCTCCTCTCCCCTCCAGCTCCTCCCTGCCTCTCCTTGCGTTACTTCCTCCCTCCTACTTCCCTCTCGCCCTCCCCTCTGCTCCTTTCCTCCCTCCTCCCTCCTTCTCTCACCTCCTTCTGGATAGAAGCTGCCAACTCAGCTCCGAACCCGCTGGTCAGAGGAGCCTCGTGACTGATCACGCATCTTCCTGTCTTCATGACACTCTGCTTGCTGTCAGCAGCAAGCTTGCAGCTCTCAACATCACCTTGCAGACTGTCTCCTTGTCCCAGGGAAGGAGCGAACGAAGGTCTATGATCTCAGTGCTGATGTTCAACTAGGCGAGAAAGATATCAGCCAGTGTTCAACCCCCTACTCCTGCTCCTGCTCCTGCTCCTGCTCCTGCTCCTGCTCCTGCTCCTGCTCCTGCTCCTGCTCCTGCTCCTGCTCCTGCTCCTGCTCCTGCTCCTGCTCCTGCTCCTGCTCCTGCTCCTGCTCCTGCTCCTGCTCCTGCTCCTGCTCCACACCTTCTTGCCGCACCCACTCCTCTGACTCTTTCTTTTCTCTCACTATCTCGACCTCTGCACTCTCTCTCTCTCTCCGCGCTCTCAGCTCTCTCCTTACCTCCTCTCGGGCTTTCTTGCACGCCTTCTCTAGCACTCCGAGCTGCGCGCCATATCCAATCACCGTGATGTCCGACCCCTCCATGACCACATCGGCATTGAAGAGCGATATCTCGTAGTCGCTCACAGGAACGAGCTCCTTCGAAGCGCGGTACAGCGCCTTGGGCTCGAAGAAGATCACGGGGTCAGGGCACCGGATGGACGAGAGGAGGAGGCCCTTGGCCTGGTAAGGAGAGCGAGGAACGATCACCCGCAGCCCAGGTGTGTGCGTGAAGTACGCTTCAGGGGACTGGGAGTGGTACAGCCCTCCGTGTCCGACTGCCCCATACGGGGTACGGATGGTGAGTTTGCCGCAGTCAAACTGCCCTCCGCTCCTGAACCTGTACTTGGCTGCCTCGTTGACGATCTGATCAAAGGCCGGGAAGATGTAGTCGGCGAACTGAATCTCAGCGATAGCAGTTGAGCCCTCCGATGCCAGCCCAACAGCAAACCCAGCTATCCCTTGCTCGCACAGAGGTGTGTTGAAGACTCTGGACTTGCCGAACTTCTCCTGGAGATCGACAGCAGCTCGGAACACTCCTCCAAACCCGACGTCCTCTCCTAGAAGTATCGCAGTTGGGTCGGTGTCGAGCGCGATGTGCAGAGCGTTGTTGATAGCTCCTACAAGGTTCATTTCCTTCTGCTCCAAGTGATGCTCCGAAGACCGAGAGGAGAAGCAGCGCGGCGACGATCTTGGTAGAAATGTGCGGGATGAAGATAAAAGAGGAAGACGCTGTGTGGAGAAGCCTCAGCAGCGTTCTTGTTCTCGTCATGTGAGCAAATCAAGCTTACCTTGAACATGCAAACAAGTTCCCTCGATCGCATCTTGAGTTCTGTGGATTCTTGTGGGTCAACCGAAGGATGTACAAAACTGATATCTGTAGGAGACAAGATTATCTCAGAGAGAGTTTACACATGGCTGATCAGGGCAGAGGTACAAAATGAAACCAATCCAAAAACAAAATCAGTATCAACTCTTGTTGAAGTCAGACACTTTGGAAGATACAATGAAGCCAGGTGTGCAACAAGACAACAAGACGTCTCATGTCATCTTCTTCCTCTCATCTCTCATCGCTTCTCCATGATCGCTCATGTCCTCTCACCTCTTCCTCGCGTCTAGCTCTCCTTTCTCCGTTCGGTCGAGAGCAAACTTTCGCTCTGGTGGATCGAAGAAAAACTTCTTTACCACTGTACCCCTCCAGATACCACTCAGTCCACCATAACCACCTACCCTGACCCAATCGAGGTTTATTCT